TGTTTGCAGCAAGAAGAAACCCCAAAACAAAAAAAATCCTTTAAGAACGCCCAGAAGCCCGCGAACCCTAGCCAAACCCTAAACCCTAACCCCTAAACCCTAAACCCTCAAACCCTCTCCTCGGGTGGGGGTCATGCACGGAGCACCACATGGAGGGAGCCTTGTAGCTCGGCGCATAAGCTTCGCTGAAGTTTCCACACCCTCAACCTGAAACCCTACACCCTAAGCCCGAAAGCCGAAACCATCCGAAGCCCGAAGCCCTAAACCCTAAACCCAGGCCGCTTCCGGAAGTCCCCAAAGCTGTGTCAGGTGGTGCAGGAGCTTTCGATGAACCTGCTGGGGGCCCCGCTGATCATTGTGCCTGTCATTTTCCCCCTTTCTTTAGTTGCTGTTTAGGGATTCAGGGTTTAGGGTTTAGGGTTTAGGGTTTAGGGTTGAGGGTCTTTGTTGCTTCTACATGTTGTTGCAGCTGGTCACGCGATGCGTTCTCATTCCTACCATGTGTTGGCCGGCTCAAGGTTCAAGTTCTCAGCTTTGACCCCCAAACCCTAAACCCTTAGCCCTAAACCCTAAACCCTGAACCCTGAACCCTAAAACCCTAAAACCCTAAACCCTAAACCCTAAACCCTAAACCCTAAACCCTAAACCCTAAACCCTAAACTGTAAACCCTAAACCGGAAGCCCTCAAGCCTAAACCCTTTCATCCCACCCCAAGACCCTCGACCCCAGGCTCGAAGGTAGTTTCATAGAGGTTCCCGAAGTGAGGTTATGTGCAGGGTACCCCCCCCCCCCCCCCCCCCCCCCCCCCCCCCCCCCCCCCCCCCCCCCCCACAAAAAAAAAACAAAAACAAAAAAAGGACAAAGGACAAACAAAAAACCGGCCAGAAATTTAGAGAACGTCATTATTTCCCCGCCTAGGGTTGAGGAGTTATCGTACTTGTAGCCCGAAGCCGCAATCCCCAAAGGCCGCACCCGAAACGACTCAGCATAGCCCCACTGCCGAGGGGAGCTGGCAGCTCAATGCAACCTGGACTGAAACCCGGCTCGTTGCCCAACTAGATTTTGGGTATATAAGGGTTCCAATATGAGAGTTCTAGGCTGTCTTTAGAGCTTGAGGTTTAGGCAAAAAGACGGTGAGGGGCTAAGATGTTGTTGGGATTAGGGTTGAGTGGTCGACCGTACAACCCTAAGCAGAGGGAGCCCTGAACGCATTAGGGTTTAGGGGTTGGGCCTCTAGGGCTTTAAGAGTTTACGGGGCTAAGGGCTTTAAGAGGCTTATGGACTTCAATGAGTCAATATTTAGGGTTGAGGTCTTGATTCTTTCGCCCGCCTTTTTTGTAGGTTGAGCGCAGAGTGCCTGCAGGCTAAATCACACCCCCGATCCGGAAGCCCTTCAGTCCTTAAACCGCTTAAAGTTTGGCTTACAGTCCATAAACAACTAGGTAGGACCTTGGGACATTTTATATTTTCCTTATTTGGGTTTAAGAGGATCATATTCAGGAATATTTTTCAGAGGGCTTTAGGGGCCAACCTAGACAAGCTTCAGCCCCCCCAAGCCCCCCTCCCTTGAATTGGCCCTTCAACTCGGAAACTCAAAAGCCCTTCAAGTGCCAGAAAACCCTTGAGCGCCGCCTAAGTCCTCGGCGAACCCCTAAACCCTAAACCCTAAACCGTGAACCCTAAACCCTAATTCCTAAACCCTAAACCCTAAACCCTAAACCCTAAACCCTAAAACCCTAAACCCTAAAACCCTAAACCCTAAACCCTAAACCCTAAACCCTCTCAGGGTTGCAGCCGCCGCGGCAGCGGCCCAGCTTGCAAATCCGCTCCTGCCTTCTGTGTGCCTTGGCTTGGGGGCTTGAGGTCCTAAACCCTAGATAAATTCTAAACCCTAAGCTTTCCTAAGCCCTAACCCTAAACCCAGGTCAGAGTTCGAGGTTTAGGGTTCAAGGCTTTCGGGCTTTTTTGTTTTTTTTTGGTTTGGCTTCTTTGGGTTTTTGGGCATTTCGGGTTTCAGGGTTCAGTGGCTGTTTGCAGGGACATTCTGTTGAGAATGTGTTTCCTCTTGCCAGACAGAGTTGCATGCGCCCTGAAGCCTCTGGCCCTCTGGTTCCGTGGTTGGGGTGGGCATGGGAGGGGGAGGGGGGAGATTTCTACCTGCATGGGCTTGGAGTAAGCCCGTAAGCTGTCAGCCCAACTCCTTCTTTCCAGGCCAACGCCTGGCTACTATCCCGGCCTTCCACCCACGCCGTTTCCACCTTGGGCGCATCCGCAGGCAGGGTGATTGCACAAAGGCAGATCAGGGGTTTCCATCCCTGAGCCCCCAAAAGGCTCGTTCGTATGATAATAGGCTGATGTATTACTAAGCTAATACACTTTCATACTAATAGACTGATGTACGAATATATTTTGTAGACCAATCTACTAATGTACTAATTTACAATGTGCACTCATATATTACTGTGATTATGTGAAAAAGCAACGAGGTAAAACATGAAGTAGGATGGCAGGGGCGCTGTGCTACTGGTGTTTGGGCTAGGCACCGGCCAGAGGAAGTTCCGGAAGCTCGAAGTCCAAGTTTAGGGTTTAGGGTTTAGGGTTTAGGGTTTAGGATTTAGGGTTTAGGGTTTAGGGTTTAAATCTAACATCTCCCCAGGTCCCTCGAAAAAGGAGACGCCGGAAGCCCTAAACCCTAAAATACCTTGGGCCGCGCGGAGACTTGAGAATCGAAGCTGTGTTAACCCAAAGCTTTCAACCCGAAACCCTGAAGCTCTAAGCCCTATTGACCCTAAACCCTAAAACCCTAAACCCTAAACACTCCAACCTAGACCCTAAAGCCCTAAAAAACCCTAAAGCCCTAAAGCCCTAAAGCATGATCTTTTGCCTGACGGTCGCAGGGCTTTCCGCCCAATCCGGGCTTGCCACCACCTCATCCGCTGGGCAGCATGGCCCCAGGCGAGAGTTGCCATGATCTCAGGGTCTAGGGTTTATAGGGTTTAGGGTTTAGGGTTTAGGGTTTAGGGTTTAGGGTTTAGGGGTTTAGGGGTTTAGGGGTTTAGGGGTTTAGGGGTTTAGGGTTGAGGGCTCAGGGCGCAGGATTCAGGAAGCCCATCGCAGGTTTCCTACTTTGTGAGGCCTCTGCCTCTACAACCAACCCGCAGAAACATCGTGTGCCCTTGGCCACAAGAGGGATACTACTCAATGGAAGCCCGAAACCCTGACACCGAAGAAGCCCAGAAGCCACGAGCCGAACGCGGTTTGGGCCGGTCCGGTTCTTTGTTGCTAGTACCGTGGTTGCTGTTCATATTGCTACTATTGCTGGTAATTGCCGATCCTCATCCTGCTGAGTGCGTGCATGGCGCGTGAGCCACTGCAACTTGGGTTTAGGGTTGCGGGTTTAGGTTTATCAAGCAAATGCTTTGTTAGAAGCCCCAGAAGCACGAGAGAGAGAGAGAGAGAGCAGCAAAAAGCACAATGTGCAGGTGTCTGGCCGTATCCGCTACCATACCCTGCTGCTTGGGCTGCGGTTTCATGGCTAGTCTTGACTGCAGCAATTAAGAGTTCGACGGGCTTGCCTTCGGCGTATGTAAGCAATCGTCACAACGCGAGCCGAAGCTTTTGTGTGAGACTTTATGATAATGTTGTCGACTTCAGCAATATAAACCTTAAATCCGCTAAGTTTGAGAGATGTGGTGAGTGGGTTGGGAAGGAACGCGAACCTAGTCGGACAGCTCAGTGGTGGCGCGCACGGAACGTTGGCAAACTTTAAATCCCGGAGCTGAGCTCTAAACGTCAGTCCATAAAATCCCACACAGATGGCAAAAGAACCTCAAACCCTCCCAACCTTCAACTGCGCCTACACGCCCCAGGTTTTAAGCCCAAGAGAAGGGATTTTTTTCTGGCACGACTAGAAGGGTTCCTAGAATGATTCTAGGGATCCACCTCCTCCACTCCCCCAAAAGCAGCACCAGCAAAGTTTAGTTCCGAACCCAGGCCTTAGATCCTGCTCTTGCGGCCATGGCTCAGGCAGCCACAGGCGGACTTTTGCGGCAGCGGTTTCAGTTCTTCTGAAGGTTAGGGCTAGGGAGACATACAATTGCATACAAGTATTCATCATTATATATTTTATATACAATGATATACTATGATATACAACTATATACCATTATATATAATTATATCCTTTTTATAGCATTATATACTATTAGACACAACTCTTTGCTGTAGGCCCTGCTCCGAACGTCATGCAAGGGGTGCGGTGCCCAGACGTCCAGTGCTTCAGGAGTTTTGGGTCAAGAAGCCCCGCCAAAGCCCTAAACATTCTTAAATCCCCAAACCCTAGACCCTAAACCCCCATCTGCGACAGCAAGGGGCCTCAAAAGGGTCTAGGCTTGAGTGTCTAGCACTACCCTAAAACCGAAACGGTGCATTCTAAACAAGAAGCCGAGTCCAAGAGAGGCGTGAGTGTAAAGAAGAGTCTTGAATAAAAAAAGGAGAATCTCTCCAAGACTATGCCAACATTTCGAATCCTCTTAAACTCCTAAACACGACCCCTTTAACCCTAAAGCCTAACAATCCTAAACCCTAAGCCCAACCTAAAACCCGAAAAAACCTCAACCCACAACCCACAATTAGAAGGGTTGGAGCGGTAGGTTGAGGGATCTTGGGTTTTAGGGTTCTAGGATGTTCTAGGGGTTAGGGTGTAGGCGTTAGTTTGTATTTCTTACTCGGGTTTGGGTCTTTTACTAAACTCTATACCCTCAACTCAAAAACTGAATCCTCAACCACAGTCTATGACTCGGCTCTGTGAGATTCATGGTTGAGGGCGCAGGGTTCAGAGTCCAGGTGGCTTCAACTCTTGGTGGGGCTTCCGGCGTCGAAGACCTCAACCCTAAACCCGACACACTGAACCCTTCGGCCCTTGAGGATTGAAAAAGGGTTCCATGACAGTCCTACGACATTTCTGAGGGGTGTCTCTCTGCGGGTGGCTCTGAATAGCGATGGCCTCCGTCGATGATGTGGCAGCCTGCTTCTCCGAGTCCTACGAGGAGGCCCAGCTGTAGTCTCACGAGGCTTCCCTTAGACGTGCAAGCCTTAAAAACCCCCGAGCCCGATCCCAAACAGGGATCCTCAACCCTGTGGCCGAAGCCAGAACCTAAAGCCGCAATCAGATGCTTACGACCTTTCATTGTGAACAAGGTCGGGCCGGTACTGTTGCCGCCACCAAGCGCTCCACCCTACAAACCCTGACTCCCCCCTCCCAAGCCTCCTCCCAATGCCCGACCGAAGCTTAAGTGCTGCAAGAGGCCAGGAGCAAGTTCCTCGCGGCCGCCAAGGAGAAGGATGCGGAGATGTGCCTCGCGTTGGCGTTGGCAAGCCCCCCCAAGCTCCAAATAACAAACATCAGCAGAACACCATTAATCATCACATGTTCATACTTGAATAATGATAACAACAGCAAAAAAAGGGCTTCGAGGGTCCCAGTGTGTTCGCGATTGCGTGAGTTACCTTTTCACAAGAGGGGCTAGTACCTATGCGTAGTAGCAGCTATGCGTAGCAGCTTTGATTCTTGATTCCCGAAGCCTTGCGGTCCTGAACCCTGAGCTCCAAACCCTAGAACTCCCTGTTTGCAAGCACCAGCCCCCAGCACTTAATCTGAAGGCACTCCTTGCCAGTAACCGAAGACGAGGATGGCAAGCTGCTTGGTGCGGGTGAAGCAGCTTTCTGAGTTTTGAGTTTGCCAGTTGCAGCTAGTTTGCTGGGCCGGGGGGAGGGGGGGGCGCGGGTGGGGTTTGAGGTTGGGTTGGGGTTGGGGTTGGGGTTTAGGGTTCGCCCAAGAGGGTTCTGATCCTTCAAATCCGAGGTCGCAGCAAGCCACAAACCCTTGAAACCCAGGTACACCATCGACGTCGCTGTCCTCAGGAAGCCTGGGAAAGGTGGGCTCTAAACCCAAAACCCTAATCCCCTAAACCCTAAACCTAAACCCTAAACCCTAAACCCTAAACCCTAAGCCCTAAGCCCTACATCCTAAACCCTGCCAGGGGGTTCGCAGGGCCAGGGGGTTTAGGGACAAAAGCCCAAAAAGGCCGAGACTCCCCCCAAAACTGCCCCATTGTCCGCAAGAGCTGAAGCCTAAAGGTTTAGGGCAGTTTAGGGTTTCGGGTTTAGGTTTTGGGTTTAATTAGGGTTTAGGGTTTAGGGGTTTTGGGGTTTAGGGTTTAGAGTTTAGGGTTTAGGGTTTAGGGCAGCAGCTGCTTCGCGCAGGCGTTGTGGTCATCTCCAGCGGCACGCACGGCGTGGAGGGACTCTCGGCAGCGTTTGCAGAGCCTAATTGGGCTTGTAAGCCTGAAACCCTAAGCCCCAAGCCCTAAACCCTAAACCCTAAACCCTAAGTCCTAAACCCTAAACCCCAAACCCTAAGCCCTAAACCCTAAACCCTAAACTCTGAGCCCTCAACGTTCAATTCTGAACCCAGAAGGCCTCCTGAAACCTCCAAGGCTATGCTGGCAGTGGCATTCAGCTGGGGCTCCTCCGGCACTGGCAGGACTTGTGGTGTTACAGCCTTTTGGGGGCCAAGGATTTAGGAGTTTAGGGTTTTAGGTGTCCATGTTATTTGGGTTTAGGGGTTCATTTAAGATTTTAGGATTAGGGGCTCAGGATTTTGCGGTTTGCCGGGGGCCTGGCCCAGCGCCTTAGCTCACTCAACGTCAGGAGCTGTCCATCCCTGTTACGGCCGTGTTCATCCACGCTGTGACGCCTGTCCGCATTACGATCCGGCCTCACGACGCATCATGCACTGATGGCTCTGCAAGAGCATCGTCCGTTGAGGGTGTGATTTGTCCCCTTTAAACCGTCCCGTATGTCACAGCCTGCGACGTAGCCAGGAATCCCTTTGGGATGGCGCACTTCCGGCGCTTCAACGAGCACAATGTGGACCTGAACCGAAACTGCCTGCTGCCACACGAGTTTGAGAAGTTGCAAACTCAAGACCAGATTGCACCCCTCTACGACAGTTTCGACCCTGTCTTCAATCCAACTTCTCCCCCGAGCTGGTTTTACCGCAACATGGGTGTTTGGGTCCGCATGGCCTCCTATGTGGCGGCCTATGGCATCGGGTACATTAAGACAGCGCTGGTGGGTGGCACCTACACCAAGGCCTCGTTGATTTGGAAATGCTCTAAGAAGGTGTTGTTACATCTTACAAGCGGCCATGCGCGAACACCTCTGTTTTTTTTGGCTTAGTAGGAGCAGTTGAGAAGGAGAAGGGTATCTTCTACGGTGGCCGTGAGCTGGAGCCCTCGCATGTTCTGCTGAGAGACTTCTTCAAGGAGCAGTTCGGAGGGCTGCCGGCGAGGGAGATCGCTTGGGTTGATGTCCACACCGGTCTTGGCCCGCAAGGTGGGGCCCAGGATGTGGGGCTGAGCATCCTAAACCCTAAGTTTACTAAGCTAACCCTAAACCCTAAACCCTAAACCCTAAACCCTAAAGCCGAAAGCCTAAAAGCCTAAAAGCCTCAAGCCTAAAGCCCTAAACCCTAAACCCTAAACCCTAAACCCTAAACCCTAAACCCTAAACCCTAAACCCTAAACCCTAAACCCTAAACCCTAAACCCTAAACCCTAAACCCTAAAACCTAAACCTAAAAAACAACCTAAACCTGAAACCCCCAAACGCTAACCCTAAACCCTTCTCTCTCCAAACCGGGCCCATCATGCAGATCAAGCCTACCTCCCCACAAATCCGACTCTCCGTAATGTCGGACCCCGTCCTTTAACTACGAGTCTCCCGAGCCCTGCGAGCTTTTGCTCACCAGACTACGGCATGGCTCCAGTTGTCTACCAAACTGTAACATCACAAACAACCCTGGACACTAAAACTTAGGCCCCAAACCCTAAACCCTAAACCCTAAACCCTAAACCCTAAACCCTAAACCCTAAACCCTAAACCCTAAAACCCTAAACCCTAATCCCTAAACCCTAAACCCTCAAACCTAAACACCCAAACCCCAAACCCTTGCGCTGCAGGCGTGGATGTGCTTCTGGGCAGCGAGGGCGACCGGCAAACCCTGGAAGCCACTTGGCCCTAAACCCCAAACCCCAAACCCCAAACCCCAAACCCCAAACCCTAAACCCTAAACCCTAAACCCTAAAGCCTAAAGCCTAAAGCCTAAAGCCTAAAGCCTAAACCCTAAACCCCAAACCCTAAACCCTAAAGCCTAAACCCTAAACCCTAAACCCGAAACCCTAAAGCCTAAACCCTAAACCCTAAACCCTAAAGCCTAAAGCCTAAAGCCTAAACCTAAGCCCTAAAGCCCTCAACCCTAAACGTTAAGGGCATGGGCGTTTCGGGGCGGGGTTCACCTCAAGGGGCCAGGGCTTAGGGATCCAGTCGGTGGGGCCTGGGCTTCGGGGGGCTTGGGAATGTTCAGAGTTGAAGGCTTAAGGCCTGAGAATGAGGTTGGGCACGCACGTGGTAACTCATGGCTTGATTGATGACTGCACTCCCTCCCACACCCATGTGCTCCCAGGAGAAGTTCCCGAAAGTGGATGGCGAGTTCGATGGAGTTCAGGTGGTTTCTGGCGAGCGGGGTGTCGACCTCCGATGCGCGGGGGAAGGGCTGGAAGTGAACTCGGCCAGGTTCTCCTCTTCGCAGTCGGCTGGGTATGAGTATACGGTGCCCCGGATCGTTTATTCCATTCCTGGGCCCTCCTCCCCACCTTGATATCCAAACTTAGGGTTCAAAAGGTGACCAGCTACTCCCCGGGCTCAAACTGAAAATTTCGGGTGTAGGGCTCAAGGACGAAACAGCAACGTGAGCCCTCTTCATGTACGTCACTTTCCTCTCTGCACCCCGTCTCTCTACCAACCCTCCCAACAGTGAGACGGTGTGTGGAGAGGGTGACCCCGAGAACCCAGCTTGATGTAGACGTGAGCCTTGGACATGTCCGAGGTCGGCGTCCTGTCCGCCCCCTGGGTGACCCAATGGTTCCCTCCAGATTCCGGGCGAGTTCTTATGGTCCAGCAAGAGTTCGGCACCCTGCCGCCGATGGCGGTGGCCAGAGCCCTGATGCTGGAAAATAGCGGCTTCCACTACGACAGGAGCAACCACCACTTCTGGCGCACCTTCACGCATCTCGGCCTGGCTCCGCCCGCCTGCCCTTCGCGCAGTGGCCCGTAGACGCGCAGTCCTTGACAATTTCGGCAGCTGTAGCTCTCATGAGGCGCAAGCCCTGGACCTCAAGCCCGAAACTCTAGACGAAAAACCCATCTACACCGAACTTGAGACAGCTTGCAGCCACCCTCAACATCCTAAGTCCTGGAGCCAGTTCCGCCTCATGTCCGACGCCTGCCAGAGCTCCAACCGCTCCAGGGTTTCGGGGCTCGGGGGCTTCCGGGCTTGGGAGCCTAGGGGCTTAGGGGTTTTAGGGCTGAAAGCTCCGGGTTTGGGGCTTTTGGGGCTTTTATGAAGGCCCACGTCCGCATCCGAGGCAGGATGCTTTCTACGTGAGGACGGATTTCTGGAAGGAGCGCGTCCTCCGACGCGGGATGGACGTCTTCCAGAAGATGGCGAAGGCGCTCGCAGCGTAGCGGCTCAGGGCTCTGCCCGTTTTCTGCTCCGGGGCGGTTCGCCCTTGGATTGTGTGCGTCGCCCTGGCTGTGATGGTTCACAGCAGCTGCGCCGCGGACGGATGTTCAGAAGGACTGTGAGGAGGCTCATTTGGCGAATCCGCGGTGGGGCATGGACGGCATGGAGTCATGTGTCGGTTGGCGAGCGCAAGGCAAAAACGTGCGCCGCGATGTTTTCAGGTGCGGCACAATGCAGCAGCAACTTTCCAACTAGACAGTCATCCTAGCAGAAGTGCCCTGCGCGATGAGCGACATTCTCCTTCAAGCCAATCCTCTGATTTGCCCTAAACTGCCCGTTATAAGGGTTTACATTGATTATTAGTGAGCATTGTACCCTTGTTATGGGAAATACCTAAAGAGAGCTCCCAAGCACCAACCTCATCAGGATCGTCAGCCCTGAACCCGTGAACCCTAAACCCCAGAACCCTACAAACTCTAAACCCAGTGCCCGATTTAAGATCGAAACCTGAACCCTAAACCATCCAAAAGCCCCATGAACCCAAAACCCCAGAGTCCGAATCTCAACCTCGTCTCCCAAAGTAGGAAATCTGGGGGAACCCTAAACCCTAAAAACCCCTATGAACCCTAAACCCTGAACCCCAAAATCCCTAAAACCTACAAGCCCCCAAACCCCCCAAAAACACTATAACCCCCCCCTCCCCCTTCCCTTATCCCGAAATCCTATTAAACCTCAGACCCTTAAAGCCCCAGCCTGTAGATCACTTGTCAGGGGCGCGGGGCTCAGCCAAAGCAGGGGGCCCGGCTGCCACTTGTTTTGGGGGGTGGGTCGAGAAACCTCAAACAGACACATGCTTTGCTCTGGCCTTAGTTCCCCTCTGCTTAGGGTTGTTTAGGTAGTGGTCTTTGGGTGCCTAAAAGCCTGAAAGCCCATATATGGGGGTTTCCGACATTAGGGGCACCTTCTTGGGCTCCTTAGAATCTAGCCTTGGAATAGGGGGATCCTACTATTTGGGGGGTCTGTTTTAGGGGTCCCCTATTTTTTGTAAACCACCATAATATGGCCGCCGCCCCTGCACCACTGAGTTCGGGGAAGGGTCGCGGCCGCGGCCGGGGCGCAACCAATGCCAACGGCAAGCAGTGGTCTGCCGGGAGCCACGGGTGTGTCATCGTTGAGTACCCGAAGCTTGGGATGTTCCCCCTGATTACTAGCAGCCCCTAAGAGGGATGATATAGGGGGTACTATAATCCCTATGAAGGACTGTTAGTATAACGGGGAACATCCCAACCCGAAGCCGCTAAACTATATGCTTTTCTGGGCCGACAAAAACACTAAAGCCCTAAACCCCAAATTAGGGGCCTATTCAATTTGATTCGGTACTTCGGGTTGTGTACACTCTAAGAGTACGGCGCTTATGCTGGGATCAGATTGGTGATTTTTGTGGCTCCTGCATTTATACCACTTTAGCCCTAAACCCTCAGACCCTTCTCATCAGGACGTCTGTGCTCCCGTTAACAGTAGCCTGTAAGGACGCTCTTGCCACTTGACAGTGAAGGGAAGTTGATCCCCCCAAAACTACTCCCCAAACCCTATGCTCCCCGAACCCTGAAACCCGAAACCCCACATGAACCAAGGAACCCGAAGCCCTAAACCCTAAACCCTAAACCCTAAACCCTAAACCCTAAACCCTAAACCCTAAACCCTAAACCCTAAAACCTTTGTCGGACGAGGCTCAGGACAGCCCCGCTCAGCTTGGGCCCTGGCGGCTCTCAGGGATGCAGGTTTAGGGGTTGAGGCTTTGGGGGTTTAGGGGTTTAGGGGTTGAGGCTTTGGGGGTTTAGGGGTTTAGGGGTTTAGGGGTTTAGGGGTTTAGGGGTTTAGGGTTGAGGGTTGAGGGTTGAGGGTTTAGGGTTGAGGGTTGAGGGTTGAGGGTTGAGGGTTGAGGATTCTGGAAGTTCCTGTCACATGCGTCGGGTGTAGGATTCATGGTGTTTTCGTGGTGGAGGATGACCCCTTCTGACAAGATCACGCTTTAAGTTAAGGTTTATATAGGGCTTAGGCGTAGCGATTTGCCCAAGAATCGCACGCCTTCCCCAGCTCCAGGAGGATATGGGTGTTTCCCAACATCTCCCCCTGATACACCCGACGATCCCTTTCTAAGGAACCCCGAAACGGCAACCCCCCCCCCTTCCAAATTGAGGAAACCGACAACGTTGGTGTTCGCATCATCGTAAACCTTTGCTTCGAGTATGACATCCTCGCAGATCGCGCATGTTGCGGAAACCCTTGCTGCATTCCTTTGCCCCGAAGAGGAGGCCCTCACGGTGCCCGAAGTGCTCGCTGCAGCCGGGGCGAGCGCGGAACACCAATCGGAATTTGAAAGCCGCCGCATTTCGACGTGGCAGCTGCAGTCTGTCAGCGTGCGCGCGCGCACGCGCGACAGTCAGCAAGATCCATCAAAAAGGGAGCTGCGAAGGTAGGGTGCTGCTGCTCAGGCGAGTTGCCCTGCCTCTGCCATGGCCATCACATGGCAAAGCCTCCCACTCCCGAAACATCGCGAAGCTTCGCAAGACTATCAGCAAACAGCCGCACCAGGCAGAGCTGGGCATGCAACACAGGCTGCTCACCCTGCGGGGCAGCGTCGCCCCCTCCCAGTAAGCAATGGGGTGACACGTCACTTCTAACTTCAAGGGGCGGTACTCCGGGTGTAGGGGTTAGGGTTTAGGGTTTAGGGTTTAGGGTTTAGGGTTTAGGGTTTATAAACCCTAATTAGAGTTTCCGAAATTTTCGGTATCGGAAACAGATGTTCTGAGTACCGCGGGAAAGCTGCGCACATGGCACTACCAGCAAAGTGCCAACAAAAACCACTCAGCAGCGAAGCTTCGAAGCTCGGACCCCCCAAACCCCCAAACCCCTAAACCCCTAAACCACCCTAAACCCTAAACCCTAAACCCTAAACCCTAAACCCTAAACCCTAAACCCTAAACCCTAAACCCTAAACCCTAAACCCCTAAACCCCTAAATCCTAAACCCTAAACCCTATAAACCCTAAACCCTAAACCCAAGCCCAAGCCCTTGGCGCCCAATTCCAGGGCACCAGCTCCTGTGGAGATCAAGGAGGTTCGAGAGTGGGATTGCTGCAGGGTTTAGGGTTTAGGGTTTAGGGTTTAGGGTTTAGGGTTTAGGGTTTAGGGTTTAGGGTTTAGGGGGTTCAGGGTTTTAGGATTTGAGGGCGTTTCGGTGTTGAGGGTTGTAGGCTTTAGGGGCTTAGGGTTGAGGTTTTTGGGTTTAGGAGGTTCGGGGTTGGGCCCTTAGGGGTCTTAGCACTTGGGCGCTCACTAGGGGTTTAGGGTTTGGGGTTTGGTTTTTGAAGTCTACGAGGCTTGTTTTTTTTCCCAAGCAAACCCACGACCCTAACTTAGGGTTCGGAATATTACTGGTACGATGATACCCCCCCCCCCCCCAAAAAAAAAAACAACTTATTCCAAATATGAAGGCCCCTAAAATCAAACCACTAAATCCTAAACCTAAAGCCCTCTTGCTCGGACTATTAGAGCTTGCAAGGTTTCGTGTTTCGTGTTTCGTGTTTTGGGTGGATGGGCTGGACCTTGTTATGGCTATTGCTACTGGTGTACTACTACTCTTGCTGATAAGCCCGCACCCTAAGCCCCTCTGATCATGGCTACGATGTTGATTCTGATTTGGGTTCGGAGTCGGGATCTTTGAAGGCTTCTTGAGCTCAGGGTTGAGAGGGTTATTCAAGAACTCCTTCTTCCCTAAACCAACTTCCCCAAACCCCCTAATTCCCTAGAATTCCCCGAAGTTCCCCCAAAGCTTACGTTCCCCGAGAGCCCCTGGAACTCGCAGCCCAACGCCTTCGCGCGAGGCGCCCCCAAAGATACCTCCGGAGCCACCAGCCGCTCAGTTGAAGGATGGGGCGGAGGGAACCCTAAACTCTACAAACCCCAGAAGCCCTATAACCCTGTAAGCCCTATAAGCCCTATGAACCCTGAAGGGCTGAGGGAACTTAGGGAACTTCGGAAACTTAGGAAACTTAGGGCATTTAGGGTTAAGGAGTTTGGGGAACTGAAGGTTGAACTTAGGGTTTCGGGAACTTGGGGTTGAGGGCATATCAAGGAACTTGGGGGGTAGAGGGAGTATAGGGTTCAGGCAATTGAGGTTTCCAGGGTTTCGGGCTGCAGGAAGGGGACTTCAGTTCTTTGGGTTTCGACCGGGCCCAAAGTCACCCCATCAGCCGGTTCCTAGGTTTACAAGTTTAGGGTCTAGGGTTTAGAGTTTGGGGTTTAGGGTTTAGGGCACTCCTAAACCTCAAGCCCTAAAACCCATACCCAGCGCCCAGTCTAGTTCTGATACTGTGTTTCTAGACCGCAGGCCCCAGAAAGACAGGCCACAACGAAAACATGACAAAGCATCATGCAGCCTCAACTCACAGCCCCGAACACAACTCCAAGGTGGATGGCACCACCATCATGTTGCGAAACCTGCCAGCCAAGCCGGGGGCGTAGCTGGGAGTTGCCAGAAGTTTTCAAGCTCCTACCCGAAACCCCAGACCCCCCTTTTGCACACCGTTTTCTTACGAAGGTACCTCTAAGTCGTTCAGTGTTGTAGTTAGTGTTGGAGCATGGCCCCGAGTTTGGAGCGGGCTCGCGGCTTGCGCTATCCTAGATGCCCTTGCGTTGATTGGGTGTTGGAGCGTAGGGTCGGGTTTTTGAGGCGTGTCGATGACTGCTTTCTTCAGGCCTCCGACTTCTCGACTCGATCAGGTGAATCCTGTTGGGCGTTTGCCGCGTGAACACTAAATGCTCACGAGCAGTCAAGTCTCCCGACTATCAATCTGCTCCGTTAGCTGCTTGGCTTTTCCACTAGTCCTCTGCAGCTTAAGAAAGGAGCTTAAAATAGTCACCTGTCTCATCCCCTGCATTATCCTGTTGCAACTATCCCAAAGTACCCATTGAAAAAAAGAGCAGGGGGCCCAACCAATTTCACCGTGAGCTCCCCTGGTCCCAGGTTCAGCCAGCAGAGCATGCTCCAGCTTCTGAACGACAACGGCTTCCAGGGCAAGTATGCCGATCCAGCGTGCTTTTTTGGGCGCCAGCTGTTGGGCAACAAGCCTTGCAACTCTGTGCCCTGCAGCCCTCATCCGTGAAATCCTAGACCCCGACATCCAAAAGTTTCAAACCCTCCCTAAACGCCGAAGCCCTAAACCCTAAACCACCTTGAGCCTAGTTTCTCAACGCCGGCGGGAAACCGATGCTGCCAGGATTTCGTGTACTTGCCGATGGACTTCCGCAATGGTCGCCTTCTGAGTTCACTTGCAGATTGGGTTTTGGGGTTCAGGCTGAGACGAGCTTGATGTCCGACCGGATGCTCCGAAGTTCCGCCGTCCGGACCCAGGCACGAATCTCGGCTACGCCTTCGTCAATACCCTGACGCATCAGGCGGCGTTTGGGCTTTCGGATGTTCGGCCCATGGAAGCCTTTAACCCTATGACTCCAAACCCACATCCCACAAGCCTCAAACCCAACACCTGAAGCCCCTAAACCCTAAAACTCTAAGCCCCAACTTTAAATATTCTAACTGAGGTAACATCTTTCCGTGTCTTTTTTCACGTGGTTTTAAGTAGGATTCTCTAGCCCCACGGCCTTAGACTTAGACCCTAAATCCTATGCCCAAAAAATCTCATGAACCTTCAAGTAGGCCTTGGGCCGCCACGGTTATTTGAGGGAGACTGGCATCTGGGTTTTCGGCAGTGCAGCATTGTGCGCTCATGCATCAAACATCGCATTGCTCTCTGTAAGGTCTCAGCCTAAGAACCATCAAACCAACAGCAAAAACATCCCCCAAGGCTTCAGCCCTGAACACTCTTTATTCCCTTCAGGGGCATCGGGTTGCAGACTCTTCTAGATCTCCCTGGCTGCCTAAGAAGGTTCAGGGTTGCAACCCACAACACCCCGCAGCCCAAGAGCGGCGCAGGATGCGCTGGAGGCCATGGATGCCTACCAGGGCTTTACTGGCTGGGCCGACGGGAGCGACAAGGTTTGCGAGGCTGGGAGGGGGGCTTGTGGGGGGGGCGGGGGGTGGGTGGGTGGGGGGGGGTTTGGGGGGTTTGGCGGGATTGGGGGGGACACTGAGCATCCCGAAGCCCAAACCTTGAACCCTGCGATTCGTCGGGGTCCGCTTTGTCTATTTGGGGCAACCGGAACCGGCCTTGCCACATACTACTCAGAGAACTGCCCAGATGATGCGAGTAGCGACTGTAATCCAGAAGGGCGAAAGAGCCAATGTTCAGGCCGAGCTGACCGTTTTGACCAATTATCTGATGGGGCCTCTGTAGAGCCATGGCCCCTCTTTTTCAGAACGTCCTCATGCCGACCCCACTGCAGCCACACGAATTGCTGAGCATGGTCGAAGTGAATCCCTCGCCATGAGAGCTGTCTTTGGCAGTTGGACCCCAGGACATCTTCCATGCCAACCGCTTCTGCAAGTCATTGAGGGTTTAGGGCTTAGGATCTGTCACGTTTGCTGGGATCCAGCTTAGGCCAAGTATCCACCAAACAGCCTTCACATAAACAGCCTCGACATCACCAACCACTCTGAACACATCTTCTTTATCGGGTTTAGGAGGACCTTGTTCAACAAGGTCCTCTTAAACCCGATAGGGGAGCGATGTTCGAAGTTATGTAGGACCCTTTTCAGACTTCTTTAAAACCGGCCAGCCTAGTTCATACGGTTGGTAGCAGTGTCGCAAAAAGTATCATACGACACCTTGGCAAGGAAGCCCTGGAATTCAGGTTCAGGGTTTAGGGGCTTTACCGGTCAAGTGTTTTCAGGTGCTACGGTTGCAGGTTTGTAGCTTCCAGGTTTTCCCCTAAACCTCTAAACCCGAAACCCACAACCCTGAACCCCGAAACCCCTACATAAAGCCCCAACCCTACAACCCAAAACCCTAAACCCGCTCCCAATTTCCCCCCCCCCCCCGGAAAGAGCAGACTCTACAGGTTTCCTGGGCCCACCCACATCAGGGCCTCGAGGAGCATGCCGGGCCCTCTTTTTGAGGGGAAGCCTTTTCATCCCTCTAGCGTTGTTGGGGGGGAGAGGGGGTTGAGGGTTGAAGGTTTGGGGTGTAGGGTTTGGTGTTTAGGATTTTAGGGTTTGGGGCTAGGGGCTCAGGATGTGGGGGTTTAGGAGGGTTTAGGGTCATACCCTGGAGAGACCTAGGCCCTTAAATCTTTCCACAGCATGACCCTAAACCCTGAACCCCAAATCCTGAACCCCCGGCCCCAAACCCTAAACCCTAAACCCTAAACCCCAAACCCTACTCCCCAAAGGGCTTGAGTCCTCAACCCCTAGTGAAGCCCGAAATCCTAATACGAGTACACTCCAAACGAAGCCCTACAGGCTCTCCAAAATGCCATAAATCCTAAGTCCGAGTACAGCCATCAAGCCCTAAGCGCCTTGAACCATCCTGCTTTGGCTTGATCTGATGTGGTTCTGTATTATATTCTGTTCTATTCTGTGATATCATATTACATGATATTCTATGATATGATATCTCATGATATGAAATGACATGGCGCAGCGTTTTCGGTGTTGAGTTTAGGGGGTCCAAGGCCCTCAGCCCCAAATTTCCACGAAAGCAGCTCTTCAGGCCCCAAGCCCTACAAGGCCCTGGGCTCCGCGACCCTAGCCCTAAACCCTAAACCCAATCTTGACCCAAGTTTCGAACCCGACCGAGGTTCCTGAGCCTCGAAGCCTCTCTCTCTCTCTCTCTTCTTTTTTTTCCATGTTGGGTAGCCTAATCTAGAATCTAGAAGAGGTTCCGCAGGAGAAAAGGGGCACAAAGAGTCCGGGTTTAGGGTTCACGGTTTATGGTTTGGCAATTACTGGTGTAGGCTCCAGGGTTACCTTGCATGCCAGTTTCAACACTCCAACTGGACGGCTTGTGCCTGCCGAGGTTGAACGGTACCGAAACAGCCCCGTCATGCACCCTGTCACGCCGGAGGAGAGGGCTTTTGAGTTTAGCTGCCACGGAGCTCAGATGAGTTTTCCCCAACCTAAACCCTAAACTCCAAGCCCTCTTTTAATGCGGCTTGTGGGACGATTTGGGGGCTCTGGAGGAGTTGTCGGGTTTGGAGCCCTAACCCTGAAACGCAAAACCCTTTTCAAAACCCTAAAGCCCGAAACCCGAAACCCACTTAGGGACCTTGCATCCTAATCTTCAACCCTAAAGGTTAAGAAATCGTGCAACCCTAAATCCTGAACCCAAGAACCAAAACCCGAAACCCGCAGCAACAAAAACCCTCCTGAAGCCCAAAGCCTTAGGTACACGGTTCAGTGGTTTTTCGGGTGAGGTTGCGGGTTAGGGTTAGGGTTAAGGGTTTAGGGTTTAGGGTTTAGCGTTTAGGGTTTAGGGTTTAGGGTTTAGGGTTTTGGAGTTTGGAAGGTTGAGGTCCTTTGTTTCGAGCTCTTGCCTCGCCCTCAAGGAGTACAAGCCAATGGTCTTTGCAAACGGACAGCGTGTCCCGTTCCCTGCGCCGACAAAGGCGCGAGCCTCGCTGGGACGAGCTCGGGGGGGTACGGAATAGTTGGTTTAAGCTCTCGTTTTATCTTTCTCTCTCTCTCTCTCTTTCTCTCTCTCTCTCTCTCTCTGTCTCCCGCTCTCTCTCTCTCTCAGATAAGTATGAGATGTCCTCAATCATGTTTTGCTAGGCCCCCTATTCTATTGAGGGGTGTTTAGAGCTCTAAAGTATACCGGAATGAAAACTCATTGCTAAACCCCAAGGGTCCCAGAAATGGGGAAGGGGCTAGGCTACGAATATCCTGGGCATTCGCGGTTCTGAGTTCGCCAGCTCTTCCATGGGGTGTTCGGAATTCGGGCCTCTTGTTTTAAGCAGTTTTAGGATGTTCCCCCTTATACCAACAGTCCTTAATGGGGATCATAGTACCCCCTACAACAATCCCCATTTAGGACTGCTAGTATAAGGGGGAACATCCGAATCTCTGTCATTAAGGGGCCCCTCCTCCCTGACGAAGGGGACGCTTATTGTTTAGTGTGTAGAGCAAGTTCGCCTCAACGTTGCACCCTCGACCAGCTTAGGCCCGTGTTCCCGGCCCATGAATGATGTCCCGTTCCTGACTCGCGAGGCTATCCGCGCGCCGAAGATGAAAAGTGTCAGCCCGACCTGGTTTGAGCAGGGGCGAGCGGGAGGAGTTGAAGGTTCTGGGGGCTTCTCGGGTTGAGGGTTTCAGGGCTCCAAGGGTTGAGGTTGTGTGGCAAGTTCTTGCATTGTGCCTCCCCCCATGCATTGTGTCATCAAGCTCCCCTCCCCCCCCCCCCCACCTAGTAAAACCGCTGCAAGCATGCGGAAAGTAAGCCCCCGATACATTAAACACCTACACCTGCCACGCTCCTTTTGGGGGGACCCCCAAGCCGTCAACCTTTCGGGGATCCACACGCTGAACCCGAAAAACATCACGAAACTCTCAACATTTAGGGCCGGAGTTGGGGGTGTTCGGGGTTCAGGACCGGAGTTCCGGTGGCGCTGCAGCCCTCACGGACGCAAAATCCTGAGTTTTCTTCCCTTGCGCCGGGCCCTCGGATTGCTGGGAAGGGCCCCCGAGCATGTTCTTCTTCACTTCTAGGGTTAAGGGGCTCCTGTTTAAGAATGGTTTGGGGCTTGTAGGGTTTTGCAGGGTTGCGGGGTAGGCCCCTCCCCGAACCCTAAAGCCTACACCCTAAGCCCTGACGGAAGCAGGGCTCCACGCCAGAACGACGCAAAGCTACACCCACACAGCCTCCCCAGGTTTCGTTGTGGACTTTGGTGAGTTCGAGAAATCGAGCTTGCGATTTCCGAGCGTCTCCGTTGAAATCTGCACCTTCAAGCGTATGGGTTTTCGAACTCAGGACGACTTTTGGGGGGCCTTTTTTGATGCGGGCTTCTATGCAATGAGAGGGTGCAAAAAGGCCGCTCTAAGCCCCCGGTGCAGGGTTCCGTGGAAGCTGCTTGAAGGAGCTGTGCATCTGAGTTTCCGCTCAGCGCCGATGATGGTAAATCCATGTAACTTGACCTCTGTGAGGGCGGAAGGCTCCTGGCAAGGACCCGAAAGTCGACAGGGCTCAGGGTTCCTAAAACCTCAAACCCTAAATTCGAGGGTGTAAGGGGATGCAAGGGCTGTAAGGGGTGCCACCCCGCCCCTGTGCTTGCGATATCAACCCCTGCACTCCCCAGCGCCATTCACTGAAGGGTAACTACATAGTTGATGTTCTTGAAGTTGAGTTATACTAGCTACGTGAACACTGTTACGCAGCAAAAATGGTACCTAGCAATATGCTGTAGCCCCTAAATCTATGCTTGTTAGTCTTTATTATTTAGGCAGCTTTTTCAGGCTAAGGTTTTGAAAGTTTATGGGGTGGTATTTAGGGCTTTGGTTCGGGCCTGATCCAGCTTGCTTTGGTGTTAACTAAACCCCTGCCATGTTCAATCCCTTCTAGCCTCTTCATTCCTCAATAGACCCCCCGAGTTCTTTCCAAAAAGCAACCGCGGCCTTCCTATTGAAGCGGGCCCAGCGTGAAACCCTGAGCCTTAACGCCCTTGAACATAGCCCTGATATCCGGGTTTAGGGTTTAGGGTCTAGGGTCCGCTCAGGCATCCAGACGCCCAACCTTAACCAGTGAACCTTGCCAATCCTAAACCCTAAGCCCTAAACCCCAAACCCCAAACCCCAAACCCTAAACCCTAAACCCTAAACCGTGAAGCCTAAGGAGCCCCAAGGCTCGCAGGAAGCCCCGCCCTCGAATCGGCATCCTTTAACGTGACATGCGCCCACGCGATGCAGCTCACTGCTGACATCTGTGAGAGCCTCCGTGTTTTTTTGACGGGGTTCAGGGTTTAGGGTTTAGGGTTTAGGGCTTCGGGCTTATGGGTTCCCATGACAAGGTTTCGTTGAGAGGTTTTCAGGGGCTTCGGGTCGAGAAAGTTAGGACTCAATCGTTTGAAGCCTCACAGCAGGCTTTGGCATTGTACAAAGCCTTTCTCTGAGATGAAATTAGAAGCTGCCGCCGCTTCTCACCCGACCTCCGCCTGTGTGGAGTCGATTGGGCAAGCTCGTGCCTGCCATGTCTAAGAACTCAGAACCATGATAGAACCTTAAACCCTCAAGCAAGCCCTTCCCCTCCCCCCCCCCCCCCCCCCCTACTAGACATTCTTCACGTCAGAGTCCATCTCAAAAGAGTATGGGGAGTATCAGCCCTACAAGGGTTGTTGGGGGGTTTGGGGGGGCTGGGTGGATACCTGGCATACCTGGCAAGGGGTCATGAGGCTCTGGCTTCAGCCTCAAGATGAGCCTGAAGCGCTGAAAGTGCCGACTTAGGGGCAACCAGCAAAGCTGCTGAGCTGGGGCGATTCATACCGCAATGGCTTTGGTTGAGAGTTTAGGGGCCTCTATTGGTCTCCCGGAACCCTAAGCACTAACCACAAACCCCCATGTAGCAACCCGGGGGGCAGCTAGAATGCTGCTCCCTGCTGCCGTTTCTAAAAGCTTTCACCCGCGGTGTTTCAGCCTTCCTACCCAGAAGCTGGGTGGCTGTAAAGGAATTTAAGCAAAGCTGCCACAGCAGGTTGTTAAGGAACTTGAACTACGTTGAAAGCTCTATATCCCTACTGTGGTGTAGCCTGCTTTAAGTTCCCAAGCAGCAACTCAGCATGTTGCCCACGGAGCAGTTGAAGATCAATGGAAGATGGAGAGCGAAAGGTCGCGCGAACACTGCGGTGAGTGGAATGGCGGCAGGATATGAGCTTGACGGTTTCTTGCCCGGGTGTGGGCCGGCTTTGTTTGTTAGGGTTCAGCCCAGGCTTCGGACAGGCGGCTGCAAGCTGCGTTGGAGGAACGAGTTGACAGGCTTTGTACTTGCACGAGCTGTGTCCGGAGGTTAACTGGGAGGTGCCCTTGCTGAAGTCGTCCTGCGAGTTGACGGGTCAGCCTGTCCAGTCCCTAGGGGCCTCATATTGCCAGCTCCGTGGGGGCTCTTCACCCATGAAATTGCCTCGCATGGCCTCGAGTGTGATGTAGGCGCCCCCGAGCTGCACCACCCTTCCCCCCCTCCCCGTCCCCCTAAACTTAAGCCTTTAGTAAGAAGCGTTTAGGTTAGGGTTAAACTAACACCCTCAATCACCTGCTCTGGCGCTCCGGTCCGAACAGGCTGAACTGCAGTAGCTGCAGTAGCACAAGCTGACCCACGCAATTGAACAAGTCGCCGAAGATGCCCTAAAGAAGGGACGCGAGGGGCTGATCCTGTGTGGGGGACTCCCTCATATCGAGCGTGGCTCTAAGGGGCGTGTTTAGAGTTTCAGGCTTTGGGTTACAGGGTTTCACCCCTGCTAAGATCCTGCCCTCTGTACACCTAGCCACAAGACCCTCCTAGACTTCCGACCAGCCTTAGAGCGCTGCCCCAAACTTACTGGGACTTGAGATATCCCAGACAAGAATCCTAGAGCCCCTGGGCCCAAAACTCTAAACCCCAAATCCCTAAGAGCCCGAAAAGCTAGTTCAACATCTGCCGCGCGCCCATGGCGGCGGAGGGGGCTGACCAAGGGCAGGGGGAGGTGCTGTGGGTTCATATGGTTCAGGGTTTAGGGTTCGGGGTTTAGAGTTAGGGTTTCGGGTTCAGGGGTGGGCGCAAGAGGGGCATCCAGGGGGGTGCTCAGGCGGGCTTCCCCTGAATCCTAGTTCCAAGCATGGTGCGGGCCTCTGAAGGCTTTTTGAGGATTCAGAGGTGTTTGGCTGAAAGTCGTGAACTCAAGATGGGGCTCCACCAAAAAAAGAAGGGGCACGAATTTGGGATTCTTAAATAAGGATGAGAATCTTCGGGGAACATATGAAGTACACCTATTCTCGGGGACATCACGCAAGTCTTGAGCTGTGTAAAGCATCGAGACGGACATCGTCGTGAGCTGGGTAAACCTGGGAATGACACATCATAGAGAGGATATACATCAAGGCGAAAGTGGATTGCAACTTCAGGGTGCTCCACAAGCTGCTGCGCGAAACCCGAAAAACAAGGTCCGGCTTCGGGAAGCCCTGAACCCTAAACCCCAAAACCGAACCTCTGGACCCAAGATTCCTTTAGGGAGGTACAGAGCCTCGAGGGTCTGAAGACCAACATGAAACCTGCAGCCGCAAAACCCCGAGATGCCTCAGGGCTCTCAGGACTTAGGGGTTTAGCGGCGTACGGGTTTAGGGATTTAGGGCCCCAAACCCCTGCAAAGCCCCTAACCCTAAGCCCCAAGCCCTAAGCCCTAAGCCCCAAACCCTAAACCCTGAACCCCCAAGCCCTAAACCCACCTAAGCAGTAAACCTCTCCAGCGAACCATGCCTGCACCAGGAGTTCGGGGCCTGGGAGGAGCGCCAGAAAGCCGAACGGAGGCGCGCAGCGCAGGCCTGGGAACACGCATTCTTGTTGTGGAAGCATCTCGATTTTTGCGGGGGGTCATGGGGTTTCATGTGTTTAGGGTCCCAGAGTCTCATGTGTTCAGGGTCCCATGGCACTTTGCCGGGGTGCGTTTCGTGGAGCGGGGTGGGGTGGGTGGGCCCAAGGGCATAGGGCTTCTCAGGTGCGTTGGGGACGGGGAGGGCTCAAGTTGGTTGGAATCTGCAGCCAACCTTTTGTCCTAACCGGCACCTCCAGGCCACCAGATTTCGCACAACACCAGGACACTTGTTTTGGGGATTGTCTTTTGATAGGGTTATTGTGCTTAGGCGATACCCTCTGCTAGGAAACAGCCATAAGCCGCCTGCCCTCCAACGCATGTGTTTCCAGCGCCAGCCCCCTAAACCCAGAAGCCCAAACACCCTAAACCCTGAAAAAGAAACCCTAAACCCTGAAACAAGAAACCCTAAACCCTAAACCCTAAACCCGAAAACCGGGTAGGCAGAGCTGGCCGAGTTTAACGCGCAGCGGCAGCGCGAGCTGGAGGTGCCAAAGTGAAGTGCGTCCTTCGGTTCGCGCGGGCCTTTGGATATAGGGCGTAGGGCTTAGGGTTTAGGGTTCAGGGTTTTTCCCAAAATAGGGGCCCCCCCTTTGGTGTAGGGTTTGGGTTTGAGAGGTTTAGGGGTTTCGGGGTTTAGGAGTTTAGGGGTTTAGGGGTTTAGGGGTTTAGGAGTTTAGGGGCTTAGGGGTTTAGGGCTGAGGGCTCAGGCCTTGGGCATCTCATGTGGGGACCCACCTGGGCCTTCTCTTCCTCCTCTGGAGTTGCCCCTCATCTAGGGTCGAGGGTTGCTTGGAGTTTAGGGTTTAGGGTTTCGGGTTGAGGTTGGAGGGCTTCGGATTGAGGACTTTCCATGGTGCCTGGCTGCCCGATCTTCACCGAAAGCTAAGGCCTCAAGCCAAAGCCCTAAACACCTGAGCCCACAACCGTGAAGCCCTCGACCTGAAGGTGTAGACCCTGGACCCGGAAGGTTCTTTAGGGTTCAGGGTTCAGGGCTTAAGGTTGAGGGCTTGAGTGGAGGAGTCTGTCCTTCGTATGTTCTTCACAAAATCCCCAAATTTGCCAAGCTCACTCCTTACTGCCCCTGAAGCACCAGCAAGACGTGATGGCAGTTTCGGGGTTTAGGAAGACCAGCATTCATAAGATAAGGTGATCGGCTTGAGGATTGACGGTTTAGGTGTAGGAGTTTAAGGCCAAGCTCTAGGGGAGTTTGGATTTCGGGCACGAAGTTCCCTACACCCTCATCCCTGATTGAACTCGAACTCTACTGTAGACGAGAAACTCTGGCCCCTTACTGGTAGCGCACAGGCGAGGCGGCAGGAGCGTGCAAAGCAGGCCGGACCCCCCCAAGTGAAGCTCGGAAGCCCTGAGCTTTTCCCTACGGAGGGCCCGAGTTCCATGAGAGCTGAATAAGCCCACAAGCCCTAAACACTTCAGGGAGTGTGTTGCAGCTTTCACGCTGGGTTTGGGGGTTATAGGGGTTTCAAACCCTGAACCCTCAGAAACCATACAAGTTGCGAGATTGCAAGAGGGAGGTAATAGAAAGTAAGTTTTGGTTTGGAGTTTAGACTGCACGGAGGTTGAGTTTAGGGTTTGGGCTCTCATGAACTCCTCTTGGGGGTTCTAGGGCTTTTGAACCTTCAGGCTCGACCCTAAATGTAGGGGTCGAAAATAATTACTAATGGTATTCCCTCAAGGTTCCTTCATATTTATACTATCATAACCCCCAGAGCCCTATTCTAATTGCTCAGGCCCTCTTTATTACACCCTTCAACTTCAAGCCTTTTTCGGGCTTCAGGGGTTGCATTGGGAGGCCGAGGCTGCAAGCCAAAAGGATGCCACTCCAGACACTCGGCCTAAAACAAAGAGGTCGGAATAGTTACGAAAAGTTTTTCCCTTAGGGTCCCCTTGTAAATATACTCGAAGATCCCCCAAAACCCTATTCTGCTGATTCAGTCCACTATATTATGGGTTCTGTAAAAGAGGGCCTCCAAGGATTGAAAGGGTGAGGGCTTGCAGGCTTCTGATGCTTTAGAGGGTCTGTGGGGTCGAAGTAGGGGTGTATAGGGTTGTGCTTTAAAGTTAAAGGGTTGTGTGGGGGTTTTTAAGGGCTTTTGAAGGGTTCACTAAACCCTAAACCCTAAACCCTAAACCCTAAACCCTAAACTCGTTCTTTAGGGTTTAGGGTTTGTCAAAGCGGGAAAGGTGATGGCTTGACCACACTGCTTGCAGCCCTCCCCCAAAACCCTCCACTCAGAAACCCCAAACCTAAACCCTAAACCCTAAACCCCAAACCCCAAACCCCAAACCCCAAACCCCAAACCCCAAACCCCAAACCCCAAACCCCAAACCCCAAACCCTAAACCCTAAACCCTAAACCCTAAACCCTAAACCCAAACCCTAAACCCCAAAACCCAAAACCCAAAAAACCCCAAAACCCCAAACCCAAAACCCAAGCCTAAAGGCCGTAGCGCCTTGGCCCTGGAGCTGAGGCTTCAGGAACACTCGGCGGGTACGTGTCTGCGCCAGCGGTGCCGGAGCCCTTCAAGGTCTGGCCTTTTGGGAGCTTTCTGGGTTTAGGGTTTAGGGTTTTGGGGTTTAGGGTTTAGGGTATAGGGTGTGAGGTTTGGGCTTTAGGGTTTAGGGTTGAGGGTTTTGGGGTTAGCCTTGAAACCTTACACCCTCAACCTAAGCGGGGGGGTACGTCAGCTTTCTTGCCTAGCCTTGGGTTTTCAATTATTTCTACCTTCAAGAGCTCTAATTTTGTTCGGGGTTTGATGTTGGGAGGTTCTCGGGTCAGGTTGAAACACAAGGGCATCGAATCGACCCGAAAGAGAAGCCAATCCAGACCTCAACCGGATCGGGGCCCCATATGGGCATTTACCACACGGGGTACCCCCCCAATATGCCCCAAGCTTTTGTCATCCTTCTAGGAACCCCCGCAAGACCCCATTGGGAAACCCTCGGATAAACCTAAGGAGTGGAGGGGAGGTGGGGGGTGCTCCTATCATCTGCTGGGCTCCTAAACCCCCAAAAAGGCCTGTATCTTTTTTAAAGGGTGGGTGGATGCTCGCCCGCTTTGTTTTGAGGTAAAGCCTCCACCCAAAATCCTCAAGGTTTGTAGGTTAAACCTAGGCAGAACACCCTAAACCCTAAACCCTAAACCCTAAACCCTAAACCCTAAACCCTAAACCCTAAACCCTAAGCTCCCAAACCTTTCCCAGGCTTTGGTGCAGGCTTGTGGCAGCTCCGAGGACTTCCCAAGCAGTTTGAACCTCCTAAGGGGCGGCTCTAAGATTTGGTTGGTAGGGTTTAGGGTTTAGGGTTTAGGGTTTAGGGGTGGGGCCCAAACGAGGTTGTGGGGGCTTTGGGGTTGAGGGCTTTGAAGGGGTTCGACATGCGGAAGGTGCAGCTTGCGTCTCCCCAGGTGCTTTTGGTTTCTGCGCATCTTTGGCCTCAGGCCTCCGAAGTGTTGTGCACTTATGTTACCAGAGAGAATGGTTGAACCCGAACCGCATGTCACGGTGTTTTCACCTGCTTCTACTCAAGCTCAGCCTTGACTTCCCCTCCGCGCTTGCAGCGTTCAGTGGGCTCAGCCCTCCCTCAAACATGTGGGGACCTCAGTTTGGAAGTTATGCCATACAAGCAGCGGAGCCCTCGTAGGTTTGTGCTGTCATCATCGCTGTCAGTTCTTTTCAACCGAGGTCCGCCATGGCTTATCTCTTCATCGATCCGGCTTGCCTCAGTGAGAAGATGCGTGCACTTTCCGTCTACGATGTTCGCCACCACTTCCACTTTGATCATCATCACCATCACCATAGCCATCATTGCCATCATTGCCACCATAGCCATCATCATTGAGGCGATGAGGCACGTGGCTGAGACGAGAAAGCGCCACCTCGCCATCACAGCCACTATGGCCACAGAAGTGGCTTACATGGCCCGGAGCAAGCGGAGCAAGCGAAGCAAGCAAAGCAAGCAAAGCAAGCGGAGCCGGTGCTTCGAGGCCCGGCTTTGGCACCTGCTTCAGCGGGCTCCCCCCCCGAAGCGAAAGCAGCTCCTGGGGAATTTCTCCGAAGGCCAGCGCTTGGCCCTGGAGCGCTGGGCCCTCGCCCAGCCGGCGCCACCGGCACCGCCGGCGCTGCCGGCACTGCCGGCACCGCCGGCTTGTGCCAGTCCGGCCAGGCGCACGCACAATTCGGAGGAGCAGTCCACTCAAGCAGTGGATGTCGCAAATGTTCGCGCAGAGACCAGTGCGAAGGTTGCACGAATCCACAGCAGCCTGCCACGCGGGCACTGCGTGTGCAGCCATCGGGGCAGGGAGGGAGCCGTCCGCCATGATGCGCGGGTCTCCTGCTGGCCTTTTCGGCTGTTCACGAAGATGTCGGCTCACCTGCCCACAGTTCTAAGCCAGCTCGAAGTCTTGCTGGCGGTGCAGCGCCGATTCTCGCAACTGGATGCAGATTGTACAGACTCCTTTCAGGACCTTGGCAATCATGAGATGCGGAAGATGAAGTGGAAGTGCTTCCGTGAGGCAGTTGCTGCTGAGTTTGAGGCACGCGAGATGAACTTGACTTTTGACTCGGGCTTTCGCTTTGAGGCTTACATCCCAGCCAACTTCTTGCTGGGAAAGAGGCTTGGAACGCCCCACTTTGCCGTTTCAGAAGGGGGTCTACAGAAAGGCTACGAGGCTTGGCAGTCCTTGTACTACTCCCTGCACTCAGCATCTGGCCTGGAGCAGGGCAGCCTTGGCAGCCGTAGAAACCGCTTCACATCGATTGCGAACACTTATGGCGCGGAGGGCCTCCATGAAACTTGGGTGCGCTTTTGTGCATGCTTTTAAGCAAAGAACCTAAAACCTAAACCCTAAATCCTGAACCCCAAAACCCGAAGCCCTAAACCCGAAACCCTCAACCGCCCTGTAACACATTCGACCAGTTCTGTAAAGCACAGTGGATCCAAGGAAGTTTGGCAGAAAGTCCGTGCAGCTTATGTTGAAGTCTGGAGAGATGCCGGCCACAGCCGACAGCGATTGAAGGCACAGGTGTCATTGCTCCTGGGAGTTTTCAAGAGCAGATTTTGGGTCACTTTTGTTTTAGTGGGTTCAAAGGGTTGTAGTTTAGGAAGTAGGGTTTTGGGTTCAAGGGTCCAGTGCTTCGAAGAATGAAGGAAGAATGCAGGAGCTGTAATCGGTTGTCGGGGTTTGCTTGTATGTGTTGCCAGCAGGTGCCGCTCATTTCTTGAAGTTTCTTTGACAAACAGGCGTCTTAAGGAAGTCGAAAATCTGATGGTCGCGGCGTCTCACTGTCATGCTGCTCTCATTTCCCTTTTTTCGGTGGCCCAGGTTAGAGAAGCGGTTGAAGGTGCGCGCGAGGACGTGGCCTTGCAGACGCAAGCAGGCAGACACGGCCGAGAGCACGCAGCAGAAAATCAGCAGGCTGCTTCAGATGTGGACACCGAAAGCTGAAACTTGGCTGCGCCTGAAGAGTCACACCTCTCTTTTGAACACCAAACCTGGGTTTCTGCTGAAGTTTACATGCGAGAATGCAAGCCAGGAACGAGATGCTGGGGCCCGGAAGCGCTACCAGCGCATGTGAGCCTGGTAGCCCTGGCAGAGTGAGGGCTGCAAACTTGCACAGACACCAGCCTTTGGGCTTTGGGTGTTCGGGTTTGCAAGCTCATGAGGTAGGGAGTCCACGTCCATCCGGCCATGGGCCTGGTGTGCAGAGCGGCCGACCTGGCCCTGAGACTCCTGGAAAAGCCTTCCTAGGCAAACATTCCTGTGCCCTGAACCCCCTTCGAAGTGCCACGTTTTGTAGTTTGGAACGTTACGCGACCCGCCTCGGCCTGGTTCCGCCCAGCGGCGAGGCAACCCAAACCGGAGATCGCTTTTGTGAGGCCTCGTCCGCTCCCGGTCACCTGTCAGCTACGGGGGGTACCCAGAGCAGAAAAGCACCAAATAAAGCGTGCAATCTGTGCTGCCCAGACACCTACGGCCCGAGGGCTCGGCGGATTCTATCAAACTCTGCGTCGCAACGTGGCCCCCGCACGTTGGGCAACTTAGCCCTCAACCCATCGCAAGTGGGCAAGATTCCATCTCCCAAAGGTCCGCCGCAGAGCCCCAAACCCCAAGCCCTGCACCCCTGAACTTGGAGCAACAGGCCCTGAGTCCCCGAACCCTACAGCCGCCGGGAGAAGGGCGGGTTTAGGGTTTAGGGTTTAGGGTTTAGGGTTTAGGGTTTAGGGTTTAGGGTTTAGGGTTTAGGGTTTAGGGTTTAGGGTTTAGGGCGTTCGGGTTTTAGGAGATGATGCGGATGCTGTCCAACCCAGCAGTGATGGCGGCACTCCAAGGGAAGGCCTGAACCACAGATCGCCCTTCAGGGTTTAGGGTTTAGGGTTTAGGGTTTAGGGTTTAGGGTTTAGGGATTAGGGATTAGGGATTGAGGTTGAGGGTTTCGGGTTTAGGGTTTAGGGTTGAGGTTTGGGGTAGAGGGTTTAGGGTTTGCAGGCTTTAGGGTCTATAGGGCTTAGGGTTCATAAGGTTTTGGGTGAGGGCTTTTAGGGTTATGTATGCTAGAGAGCTCACGAAGGCCCATTCTAATCCAGACCCTACAAAACCCTGCAAACCCTATAAACCCGACAAACCCCCTCTAAACCCTCAACCCCTAAAGCCCGCAGACTCCCAAGGGGCCCAGGCCCTGCCTCCTAAGGCCCCGGAGGCACCCAGCGTGGCGGCCGCCAAGCAAAAGGTCGAGGTGCGCGTCCGCGAGGCGCCTCCTGGGCAGCCTGGGGGCATGCTTGCCGCTTGGGGGTTCGGGTTTGGGGGTTAGGGTTTAGGGTTTAGGGTTCAGGGTGCAGGGTTTTGGGTTCAGGGTTTAGGGCGTTTTTTGCTCTCGCAGGATGTAGGAGT